GGTTAGTGACGGGAGAGATCGAAGGAACAGGATAAAGAGGTGGGTGGTGACTAGCGAGACTAGGTGGTTTGGTGGTCGTGTTGTCGAGGTAGAAGGATTGGAGGATAAGAAGGACGAGGTGCGGACATGCAGCTGAAAATTGAAAATGAAGAATAAGTTGGCAACTTGGGAAGTTAGGGTTAGGATTTAGCACTTAGTCCGTTAGTTACTCGGGTTACGGGGGTTTTCTAGTTTGGTCCTTTAAAAGTTTGGGGTTTTGATTTAAATTGATTTTTTTTTCAAAAACCAAACCGAACGTAAATAATTTTATTTTTTTTTTGGTTTGATTTTTATTTTCATAATTTTCAGTTCAAAACGAAACCGAAATTGATATTTCGATTCTGTTCGATTTGGTTTTTCGATTTTTACCAAATTTTGCTCGACCTTACAACTTCTACCGCTATTTGATGATTTTTTTGTAGTGTTTGTTAAATGAGACCCAAATAATGGTTTTAATAGTTAACCTATTGATTGTTATATGTAAAAATAAAAATAAAATATGTAAAAGAAAGAAGTTAGATTGGGTGGTTTACAATCGGAGCATTTACACCCTACCATAATAGCTCGACGAGCAAGCATACAAAAACAAAATAGATAGTCATCTTAATTTAAAAATTTATTTGTTGAATGAGACCTAAACAATGGTTTTAATTGTTAACCTACCGATTGTCACATGTAGAAATAAAATATGTAATAGAAAGAAGTTAGATAGGATGGTTTACAATCGGGCCTTTATGTCTTGCCATAGGAACTTACCAAGCGGCATACAAAAAAAGAGATAGATAATCAATAAGCTTATTTCTAGATAAAAAAATAGATGGTTGCTAGTTGAAAATTTATGAATAATTCGATTATTGATTGATGAATTTTTTTCATTTTAATTGTATTTATGGATTAGCATTTTAGTAGATCTACCAAGATAAACCTATTATCGTGTACCATAAAAATAATGTGATACGGAGAGTGCTTGGGTATTCTTGAAATCTTTGCGGATCTTCGTTTTTGGAGAACTTGAAAGTTTGAGAGGGAGGTCTTCATTCATAGGGAATTGTTGTATAACACTTACGAGGGTTTCTTCCTCTAAGAAGAATGTTATTAGAAAATAGAAGGAGAAGCAAAATCCATTCTTTGGTGATAATTATGTTGTAACCAATGTGTCCGGAAATGTAGACAAGCTTTGGGTTATGGTAGGGATATTTTAGTGCATTGTGATTTGGGTCATGAGCTTTGTCATGGTGAGTTTGGTATTACATATTTGTGCACTAATGTAAACCCTAGTGAGAAGTTTACCTATAAGCTTATATTGAAGAAGAAATTGAGGACTCTTGTGGATACTAAGGACATGAGGAAGGAGGTGGAAATAATAAATCATTTACCTACTCATCCAAATATCGTCACCTTAAAGGCTAGTTACGAGGAAGGTACTGCTATACACATTGTAATGTAACTGCGTGAGGGAGGATAGTTGTTTGATAGGATTGTGGTAAGGGAGAATAAAATTAGAAGGACTATGGATTTTGGAATTCAATTGGGTCTTGGGATTTTAATCGGAAAGAAAATAAAATTAGACAACGAGCCATCCGAATTGGGGAGAAATTTTATGACGTGGAATCCTAGATGGCTTTTAATCCTTGTCTGTTGTGCTATTTATTTTACCACATCAAGTTAAATCAGCATTTCGGACAAAAAAAATCCCCTCGTACTAATATGATTATTAGAAGCTTAGTTATGTATTTTTCATCCATTTTTTTTTAAAGGCCAAAATGATTAAAACGTGTTAAATTTGTGATTGTATAGTACAATAAATTTTTTTCAAAATAGAAAAAAGTAAAAAAAAAAAAAAAAAAAGGTGTTGAATTTTAGAAGTCAAAATTATTAGTTTGTTGAATGAGACCTAACAATGGTTTTAATAGTTAGCCTACTTATTGTCACATTTAGAAATAAAATATGTAACGGAAAGAAGTTAGATCGGATGGTTTACAATCGGGTCTTTACTCCTGCCATAGGAACTTGCCGCGTAGCCTGTAAAAAAAAGATGGATAATCAATAAGCTTATCGGTAGATTAGAAAATAGAGGCTTGTCAGTTGAAAATTTATGAATAAATCGATTATTGATAGATGAGTTTTTTCGGTTTTAATTTTATTTATGGATTAGCATTTTAGTAGACCTACCAAGATAAACCTATCACAGCATACCATTATAATATCGTGATGCACAGAGTTTGCATCCATCAACATCCTTGTTTCGAAGAACTACAAACCATTACCACGCACCTTCCCCATCTCCCGGAGATTGTGTTGTAAAAGATCTGTTCAATAACATAAAGCCATTTTCCATTCTCGTTTCAATTGAAAACTGCGTTCATTTGTCAAACGTAAAAAAAGAATTAAACAACACACCCACCCACGCACCCCGCAACACCCCCCCCCCCCCCCCCCCAAACACAAAAAAAAATAATAATAATAAAAAGACATGCGTTATGACTGTAACTATTTTTCATAGAAAGAAAATTGAAGCCATAATTTATAATATTCATCTTAATGTTATGTCTTTTTCATAATGTAAATGTAAAATATTAATCTTATTCATTCAAGTTAAAAATTATTATGAAAAAAATTCTTCATTACTTATTAACTTATTTTTAGGACATTTACCAAATATGAAAATATACAATAAAATAATGTTAATGTTTATATTGACATAATGTTAATATTTATATTGATAAAATGCATTTATATAAAAGATGAATATTCTAATTTTCAACATTTTAGTTTGTTTTGAATTTGAAAAACTTATAGACGAAAACTAAAAAAAAAAAAACAAAAAAAAAACAACGAAAATGTGTTTCTAAACCCATCGATTCAATTCTCCATTTAGTCCATTTAGTTTTGCAAAACAAGTAAAGTAGTTTTTTTTTTTAAAAAAAAAAGCTAATTTATTAATATCTTAATTAGTGTTAATCATGGTTAATTTTTTTTTTTTTCAAAAGACATATTCTTTTCTCATTAATCTTTCAATATATTTTACATATTTTTTTCTTTCTCTCTTTATTAAAACAAAAATCAAAATAAATTGAGAAAGAAGAAAAAGATTAAGTTCCTTATAGATTTACACATGTAAGGACTAATTATTTAGTTTTTGAAACTAAAAATACTATTTAATTTGTTTTAAGAACTTGAGAGACTAATTTATAATTTTCTCTTTGATGGGGTTTTGGCGGTTGAAGAAGTTGGTTCTCTTACTTAATTTTCTAGGACGTAAACATCTATAAATATATATATATATATATATTAATTTCTTTAAATGCACTAGACCGATGCATGGATGCGTCTTTAAAATCCTCCATAACAAGAACTTAGACTTTAATTATGTAAACTGATTTAAAATTACTTTTTATATCAAATAAAGAAAAAAATCATATCAACTTTTAATACTTATACCAATATGTTCATATTAAAAATTTTGGTTTAAATTGGCTATTCATCCTTTAATATAAAAGGAACTTTTTAAGTTTTCCTTAGGGGAAAAAAAAAAACTTTTATTTTAACCTCACATATGCCAACTATTTTTTTTACAACTTACGGAAAAAAAAATTACACGTCGAATCACAAAAATCAATTACGTAATTCATAGCCAATGTAAAGAATCTAACATGTTAATTAAAGCTCGCACAAAAGATACTCCATATGGAGAAGCAGAATATGGGTTTCAGGGAATCAATTAATGTTGTTGACTTGAGAAAAAAGATCATGAAAAATATGGCGTTGCGGATGGAATCAATTGATGTGTAAGGAAATGGGAGTGCAAAAAGAGACTTTCTAAAGAAAATTAAAAAGTAATTTTAAAAAGTTCTATTGTATTAAAAAATTATGAAGTTAATATGTTTTAATTATTTTAACATGTTCTTTTAAAAATTGATAAAAAATACATAAATTAAGTTTTTAGCAACTTTATTAACACAAGAAGATTTTTTTTATTCAAAATTTCAATTTGACTTGATGTAACGAGACAACTAAGATGACAACAATGATTAAAATCCACCTAAAATTATACGTGGCAAGAAATTAAAATTCCTTTCCTTCCCTATTTGGACTAAATGTCACCCGCCTAGCCAATTTTAATTCTTTTTTTATTTCAAAAACAAGAACTCCTTGAAATAGAAACTCAAATTAAATAAAAAAATTCAAAGGAAATATGAAATTGATTGAGGAAGGGTAAAATTGGGAGAAATTTAAAGAAGTGATCCTTATTAATTGTAATTAAGGGATGTTATTGAAGTTCAAACAAGCAAAATGATACCAAAATTCATAAATACAAAGGAACCAAGGACCAAAATTGATGCTTACTCCAAATCCTAATTTTTCTCCTATAAATACCTATTTTCTATCCCATTTTAGGGGAGCCGACACTATTTATCATCTTTTAAAAATTTAGATATAGCATATTTCAACTTCCTCCCTTTGCCAAAACACTAGCCTTCCTCCTCTCACCTAAACCACTATCACCTTTGACTAGTTCAGCTACCAAACATGCCAACAACCTCCTTCACTTGATCGGACCTCCTCCTCTTTCATACCGACCAAAACATCCATCCTCTTCCTCTCTATTTTAGTCGAAACATCCTCTCTCGATATCAGCCGAAACACTCCCTTTCTTTCTCTCTATTTTGGTTGAAAATTTATCTTTCTTCTAGTTGAGACAACAACTATAGCCATCAAGCTTCACCCATATCCCACACCTCAAACCACCACCCGAAGACCATAGCTCTACCACTCAATCAGCCATCATCCTTCTTCCTCTCCTTAACACTCCACCGAAACAACTAAAGGAAAATAGGTTGTCATTTTCTTACTCTCACCCAAAACCATAGCCACCTTCTTCCTCTCACCCGAAAACACCTCCAACCAACCACTAAAGCTATGAGACACCACCTACGACAACCATCGAACATGCTAGCAACTCAACGAGCTTCTCTAAGTTGGTAGCCACCTCCTCGAATCACTCTAGCCTCCACAGACTTCAAACTTATCTCCTTAACCACTTGAAACGCCCTCATCCAAGTAACCATAGCTTGAAGCCCATACCGCCACCACTCTATTCAAAACACCACCATCTAAACACAACCATACCAATCCCGTAACTAGAACCAGCTTGGACAAATAAAAAAATAAAAAATACAATTTAGAAATGAATATTAAATGATAGAATAAAATAAAAATAAAATGTATGAACTTTACGAACTATTTGGCAAGAACAACCCGAGATTATAGATCGTATATTTATTGTTTTTCTATTTTTAGCAATGAAGTAAGAATCCGGATAGAATAGTTTATTTCTTAGCAAAATGATATGATAGGACAAAACATAATTGATTCCTATTGTGAAATATTAGATTGAACAAAACAAAACCTAGACAACTTATCACCACCCATCACTAATCCCTACTATCAAAAACTAAGTGTTTTAGTTGCTCTCTCTTTTTGTCATTAAAGCACATTAGAGGAACATTATCATCCTCTTCCATAATCATCATCATTACACCCCACTCTTCCTCTCTAGCCATTACAACAGCCCTTAGTAGCCAACCTAGCTATCATTTCTAGCCAAGCAAGTAGCAGTCATTCCCGCCTCGATAGCGTCCCATAACTAAGGTAGCTTTGTTCGCCACTTCTCTCTCATTTACGATAGCTCCCATAACTAATAGTCGTTGTCTTTAGTAGCCAACAACTATCATGCTAGTCACAACCATTGTCTAGTAGCTCTTGCTAGCGTCAATAGTTGTTGCCACCATCGCATAACTAAAATAGGCTTCGTCAATTGTCGTGCCTTAGCTCTAGCAACTTTCATGACCAAAACAAGTCATTAAAGCCACCTTTTAAGTCTTATGGTCAATTCCTAGCCACTATAGTAACTATTTTAGCCACTATAGCAACCACTAACATGATAGCCACTCTAATGGGACCCACTTCAACAATCTTGGCAATTGATGAGTTGTTTTTTTCTAACTAATCGAACATTAGTTTTCATCAAAGATGAAGAGAATAGAAGTAACCCCAAACGAGCTTTTATCATTTTCAACATCTTTCAACTTATTTTGGATAACATTCAAATATTTATACTCATATGATACTATTGATGAAATTATCATAAATTGCTTTATCTTAAACAAAGGAAATATGAAATTAATTTGATTGTGATTGTTGAGAAATTTCAAGTGTGATTGGATAAACCATGGTCTAGTAGCTCCTACTAGCCCTAATAGTTGTTGCCACCATCACATAACTAAAATTGCCTTCGTCGATTGCTATGCCCTCACTATAGCAGTTTTCATGAACAAAACAATCATTACGACCACCTTTGAAGTCTCTACAATCAATTCCTAGCCATTACAGTAACTATTTTAGCCACCATAGCAACCACCAACATGATAGACATTCTAATGGGACCCACCTTAATAATCTTGGCAATGGATAATTATTTTTTTTTCGACTAACGAAACATTAGTTTTCATCAAGGATGAAGAGAATAGAACTAACCCCAAACAGAGCTTTTGTCATTTTCAACATCTTTCAACGTATTTTGTGTATTGAACCCGAAAGAGTTAGAGACCTCGGGTATTTTGAGATGAAATAAGATAGATTGATCATTGCTCTATGATGGAGCTAAAAAGATGAGCTTAGGTTTTAATTTCATAGTGTATCCAGGATAAATACTGATTTTGGTGTTTGTATTTGAATGTGATGTTGATGCTTATGTTGAATGATGTTTGATTTAATATTTTGGGTGTGAAGTGTTGAATACATAATATTCATGTCTAATAATTGATTACTCGATTTTTTATATGATTGAAATAAAACCGATAATGGCTTTCTACCTATATGGTTGAAGCTATCTATGACTTTCAAATGAGTTTATTTGTTTTCTATTCAAATGAATTGAAATTGATGGTGGCTTTCCACCTATGTGGCCAAAGCTATACGTGGCTTCTAAACCAATTCATTTGTTTTCTGTTTGAGTGAAATGAAACCTAATGAGGCTTCTCACTTATGTGATTAAAGCTACATGTGGCTTCTAAATTAGTTTTTTATTTTTTGTAAGATTGAAAGAAAAGCGATGGTGGCTTATCTTCTATACTGGTCAAAGCTACTTCTAAACTATTTTCTTTTTTATTCAAGTAAATTAAAATCTACGATGACTTTCCTCCTATATGGACGAAGTCGCTAGTGGCTTTTATCAAATTTTTTTGTTTGCTCGAATCGAAGCTATCGGTAGCTTCCCATTTATACAAGTTGAAATTACAATGACTTCTAAATATAATTATATTCTTCTTGTTTGAGCAAAATGAAGCTATCGGAGGCTTTCCTCCTACATGATCGAAGCTATCGACAACTTCCAAACATGATTATCTACTTCCTTTTGAGCGAAATAAACTTACCTAGGGCTTTCCAACTATGTGGTTGAACCTTCCAGTGGCTTCTAAATATGATTATTTGTTCATTGTTTGAGCAAAATAAAGTTATCGATGGTTTTCTACTTATGTGGAGAAAGTTATCGGTGACTTTTCGTTAATGTCATTAGAGGCTTTCTATTTTTACAAACTCACCTATCGGTCGATATAGGTTTATGTTCACTAAAGATTAGCTCAAAATTTTAATCTCTACCCACTTTTTCTTTTCGAGTATGGGTGCTGGCTTCGTGATAGGCCTAAATCCTAAATTATTCTACCATTTCACCCTAAAAAAATTCATTAAATAGGTATAGAAATCTAATATAATAAAATTATATTTTTATTTTCACATGCATTCAATGCAATATACCTCGGATGGGATAGGATGATGGTAATGTTAGATCTTTTTCATATGTAACCGATCCTTTACCCAAATATCTATATAAATTAGTCTTGTTTTATGGTTTTCTAGTTCTCCCCGATAGTTAATTGGCAACTCCTTCTCCCACTCATAGGCAACATTAATAGAATGACAACTCCACTAAAGACATGTCATGCTAGGATCAAGCTCTAAATGTATGTATGAATGAATCTTTGATTAAATGTTATGTTTATATATCTATACAAATAATTCTTAAGTGAATCTTTCCTTTTAATTACTTATCCGTTTATTGCATGTTTGTTTGGATGTGTGACATGAATATGTTGTTTGTGTTTTTTCTTCCCTTGTATTGTTTACATATGTGCTAATGAATATGCTATTTATGTTTTGTCTTTTCTTATAACCTTTTAATTATAATTTTTTAATTATTTTTTAGACTAGGTATGGAGTATGTCTCACACACGTCACTCGAATAATTATAATTGTTGTTTACATTTGCCTTAGGATCTAAAGAGTTATTAATGGTGCTCGATAAATTTTGGCCTAGGTAATTAATGATTTTCATGATTGCTAATGTTTTTTGTGGTCGATCCTAATGATTATACTAAATTTTTATTAGGTAGGAAGGTACTCTTTTGAGACATAGAGCCTACCAATTCATATAGCGACTATAATCAAACTTTAGCACCATTCTTTCCTAATTAAATGCATTAGGCAAGTTGGACATTTTTGAATCCTTGACCAAGATAACTTGGTCGTGATCTTTCGGGATAGATGACAAAAGAGTTCAAACTTAGTTTAAGCAAACATCGATCAAAGCATCAAAAGGTTACTAATGTGAACAATTATATCTTTAAACCTCGGTGCAAACAATCTTGTTGATGAAGAAATTAAAAAGATAAGAACTCTCTTCTTACCCTCCATGAATGATTACTTCATATCTAATCACAAGTGTCTTTATTTATGTTGATATGTTATTCATATTGTCATATTTTTTTTATTTTTCTATTTGGTAATGAAGCATAAATCATCTTGTCAAAATCAAATCCCCTTCAAGATCTAACAACTCAATCCAAAGTAAAAATAGATAACGAAGAAAGGATTTGACTTGAGCAAAATCATTAAAAGGAGTTAAATGCTTCGAATGTAAAGTGTCTAGGCTAGCCGCTTTACTTGAGAAAAATCTACAAACTCGTAAACCTTATAAAGTTCCTTCGAATTGAAGAATGAGTCGGTTATTTGCAATCCCCGAGGTATTCACTATTATACCATGTTTTATTGCTCGTATAGCATCTTCAAGGCCACCTCTCCTTATGTCCAACTAGAAACCTATGAGCACTACAATCCTTGTCGTTTCTACTATGCTTAGGGGTATATCTACTAAAGTATCTCTAAATCAAAAAATATTTTCATCATCTACCATCCCTAGAGTGTTTATTGTTATGCTTAGTTCTACTACTCAAATGGCATCTTCGGGGCCATCTTTTTTTATGTCCAACTAAAACGATTTGCACACTCCAATCTATATTATCATTACTACACTTAAGGGCACGTAAAAGTCTATTCGAGGAGAGCGGACGAAGCGTGTCTTTCGTAATGGAAAGAAAGAGACCACTACTTCGCCTCTTTGTTGGACCGCCGGCGCGAACACGGTGGTCTCCGACCGGGACCAGGAACCAATTCGAATTTGGATCTTGACATGTTGGTGGTTGGTAACCGTAGGCATCTTGCCAGGAAGTTGGTGGGCTCATCATGAATTAGGTCGGGGTGGCTGGTGGTTTCGGGATCCCGTAGAAAATGCTTCTTTTATGCCTCGGGTATTAGCCACAGCTCGTATTCATTCGGTAATTATACCCCTTCTTCATTCTTGGACCTCGTCCTAATATTTCTAGCCTAACCTTGTCACAACAAAAGATACAAAACTTTCAGCCATTCGATGAACAATAAAGGCCATTCGGACCAAATAATAGCAAAACTCGAGTCACGAGAAAAATAGAGAGTTGTTACGTCATCCGTCTATTTCATTAAAGAATCTCTTTAAGCACCTTATAATTATCAATCTTATGATGACTATGTTAGTGTAGGTGCTCAAAATCCAATCATGTTTAGATAGTTTGAATTATTGTATTGTTGCATTATTTATTTTACCAAAGAATTCTTTCTATTAATTTTTATGTCTTATATTTGTTTATTGAATAAAATTAGATAGAAGTCCATAAAATATGCATTTGCATTAGAAATCGATTGAAAGATGCGAGACAAATACTAATGCACATAAATGATATCATGAAATATCCCAAGTCATAATATTATCAAGAATGAACATTGACTACATATGGCTAGACTTGTAAGTGTTATGCTCATGCTACATGATAGTAGTTAGAGATCTCACACCTATTAGCATGATGATATCAAAGCAAGCACTTAAGTGATTTATGTTAGAAAATATATCACTCGGACTTGACTTGCTATGAGAACCCTTTTGGTTTAGTCTATGGGAATCTCATACGAGATGGGTAAAACCGGTTCTTAGAATTGAAGTCATCATGATTATCTCGTTGGAGGATTTATCTACTTTGACACTCATTTCAATGGACATAGTAAAGAGTTGCACGTGGGTAATTTATTGAATGCACTAGGAATCTAATACGGATAGGTGGGTAACTAAGATATGGCATGTCATTCTTTATATACTAAAGGAGTTATCACATTGTACTTTGATGAATGTTTGTTCAAAAAATCTATGGCCACGGTAGGAGTACACCAATAGAGTATGATTGGTTTACTCTAAGGGCTAAGACATTTAAAAATCAAAGAAAACTTATGTGATAATAATCGAACAAGACTAATAACCAAATTCGAGATCACACTCGTAATAAATTGACATAAGTACTCAATTGTATAGTGACCATGCTCGTAAAAGGCAATTACCGATTAATTAATTCTTCTAGAAAATTGAGTAGTCATGATGTCTTGCTAGAGACCGATCTTGATTTATGAATAAAGAATCAAAGACATAAAACAAGTGCCTTTTATTCTTAATACATTATTAACATATCTATAAGCCTATTGAGTCACACGTACAAGTTTAAGCATTCATATAATAAAAGAGAAGCAAAGATGTTGGAAAAAAATTTTCATTTAAAAGTTTCCTATTTTGAAAAATTTTTTTAAAAACGAAAAGTTTCCTAAAAGTAAAAGTTTTCTATTTTAGAAATCATTTTCCTAATTTGGAAGTCAATTCCAAATTTAGAAGTGAATAACCTAAAAGGAAATTAGTTTCTTAATTTAGGTTTAAGGGTATTTTAAAAAATTGCTTCCTAATATAGGCCACCTAAAATTAATTTATTTAGATAGTCCAAATTAATTAATTTGACCAAAATAGTTTTGGACTAGTAGGTTTAATTAAAAGCCTAAACGATGTTTTGGTGGGAGGATAAACATGAACCTTATTAGATAAGGATGAATGTTTTGAAGATAAGATCAAATGACCTATATGTAAAATAACTTCTAATCCTTAGAGAATTAGGAAGCAACAACCAAGAGTCCAATTAGGACTAGTTGCCACCCCTACTTACCCGTGAAGGACAAGAAAACTCCCTCCTATAAATAGAGGAGAGATGTGGTAATAAGAGAGGTTTTAAGAAGAAAGGAAAATGGAACAAGGGAACATTCTAAGGCACACGGCTTATCAAGAAAAAAAGTTCTTTTCTCCCTAACCCTAACACATTCCACTTTTCCTCTCTCTTTTTGGGTTGTCACAAAATTATCCCGATTAGATTTCTAAAGTAAAAACACTAAAAAAGTTAAAAAAGATGGAGCTAGCATTCTACTAATTTTGAGTGCTTCTTATGGGGTGCTTGGACTTTGTGGAGGCTGGGCGCACTTGGATGACTCTTTTCTCTAAAGGTTTAAATCCGTGCTACAAGAGATAATTCTTTATTTATCACTTTAATTCATGAATATATATGGTTATTTGATTCAATTGCATGATCTTAGGCCCTTTAGATGAAAGAAATTTAAGTTTTATTCCACACCTCCGTAGGATTTATGATCTTTTACAATAATCGCGACAACCTTCATATGCTCGGTGGTATAATCCTAATGAATACTATGAGTGTCATGACGACATTGTTATTCATAATATTAAAGATTGTTAAGGCTTTAGAAAGCATTTTCACTTATTGATTGATCAAGGTTTAATTCTATTTAAAGGTACTCCGGACACTCTAAATATGAACAATTATACTTTTTTCAACCTCGTCGCTATCAATGAAGTAAATGTTCAACCATCGAATGACATAGGAGTCCTTGGTCATCAAAGAAAAGAAGATACGTTACCACCTCTACCTATTTCTCTTAGTGATCTCTTCAAACATCTTGTGAGTATTGGTCAAATAACTCCTATAAAAGTCATTTCACCGTAGACTTCATTCCCTCATTGGTTCAAACCTAATGAAACATGCAAATACCATAATGGTGTAAATGGTCATAATGTTACAAATTGTACCAGTTTTAAGAAGTAAGTAAGATATTTGATCGACCAAGGCATTTCATTTAAAAATATTCTGGACATCCCAAATATGAATGATAATTATCTTTCCAGTTATGCTCGTTATTGGTGGGGTAAATACATTACCGTTAAATGACATAGAGAGTGATAAAAAAGGAGTCGATCTTGAAAGTCTTTAAGTATGACTTATTTGATATGATGATTGTTGTTAATGTTAATAAGAAATCTATTAAGTCTCAAACTCTTGCCTATACCAAGTATTTTTATAAGTTCTACAAAAAGAGTGGATACGAGTATAGAAGATTGTTATGAATTTTGTGAAAAGGTGCAAGCTCTGCTAGTCTCAACGAACTCTCATGAAAAAGGAAAAAAAAAGAGATCTAAAATGGACTTTAAAACAAAAAAAGTTGAGCCATGTGGGTAACAAGTGGATGGGACCGAGTTCACTAGAGTGGTAGCTCCGGAAGCTACAAATTTCCAAATGCCACCTTTTAATTATAGCTCAAAAATTATAAAAATGGTAACAAAATACTCATCAAAGCATGACCATTACCATATGATTTGGGAACTAAACCATCCAATTAGATAGACTATATGGAATTACAAAAGATCGATCATCATTTTGGGTTGGGTTTCAAGCCAACAGAGATAGATCATATAAGAATTGAGGATAAAAAAAGAAAGAAGAAGATGGTCCATGAGGAAGGTTAAGATTCCAATGATGAAATAGTTGATATTCTTCTATCTACATCATTTTTTCAAATTTTGCACATGTGATTCATACCGACGAGTAAGACCTAGTTCGGGATCAACCTCTTTAAAACACGACAAGTAAACACCCTAGGGATAGAAAGAGCAGAAACCAAAACCTCGCATGATGAGATAAGTCCTCTCTTAGTTCACTACCAATGTATTTGTGGATGATTTTGTTATCGACGAACTTGTCCAAAAGTGTAAGAAAATGAGGGTAGTTGAGTAACCGGCTATGAAAAAACCCTTTTATTTCTATAACTAAGTAATTTTCTTATCATGATTATCCTCATTTTTCTCCCATTGAAGTCATGAATGCATTGCATAAAATCTTTATCGTGCTTTCATATGATGTTAATTTATGGGATCGTGTAAATTTTCTTATCAAAATATCATCTTTGTCTTCTTTTTTCTATTCGTTTGTTCTTATTTTCACCTTATCTTTAGGACATTTAATATGATTATATCTTGAAAATAAAAACATAATTGATTGTATAAAAAAAGAGGCTCAACCTAACTCGATTATAATATGCACTAGGATGAATGCGAGGAGAATACATGGAGCTCGTAAAAAAATTAAAGCATGAACATCCGTGATTTTTTAAATCAAATCTTGTCTTATATCAAATTTTATAAATTTCATTTTAAAAAGTGTTACGACTTTGATGAATTGAGTCATTTCTTTGAAAAGAAAAATTCTACTATCTTGACATGATTTATTATCGATTTGAAATCAAAAAATATTTATTTGAACGTATCATTATTATTTTATATCATCCAAATTAAGATGAATAAAATGGCAAACTCATTCAAAATCTTTCAATATTAATCAACTTTTAAATTTAGTCGTGTAAAGGCTAGGGGTATTCTCTTTTTTTAAAAAAAAATATTCTTTTCCTATTCTTGACAAATCCTTCGAATATAGTCTTGTCTAAGATAATACATTGATGCCCAAAATAAAAAATAAATGATTTAAAATTCTAAATGATGATGAATGGTACACATTCAGCTCATTATTCCATCCAACTCGTCATTTTCTCTAGACGTCAATCATAGTTTTCAAATAAAACTAAAACTCATTAGCTCGAACAAGATCAGATTTGAAATGTAGAAAGACCATTTTTTATATACTTTTCACACAAAAAAACATACTCCTTATTGTCTAACCTTGAGTCTAAAAGATTTTTTCGATAATGATCTAGACTAAGATTACCTCTCATAATATGAGTAATTTTGAAGTTCATAAATAATCAAGGATTTTTTTCTAGAAAAGGGAGATGATAAATGATGATTATTGCTAAAAAAACTTGTTGAGAAAACTCTTGAAACAGTTTTGAAAAAGAAATGAAAAAAAAAAGTGAAAGCACTAAGATAAAAAAAAGTGCGATCTAAAATGACCTTTCTCGTGATTTAAAGTTAAAAATGGTTAGAAATCCCAAATAACAAAAAATGATGACAAGAGTGAATATAAAAGAAGAGATGAGATTAGAA